GTTCTTGGAACGACATTCATGCTTTATGAGCTCAGCCTAGCCTGGATTTTTATAAGTTCCTGGAAGCTGTTCATTTCTGCTATCTGCTCATATGCACGTATTTGCCCACATTACCTGAGCAATCATTTTTTTCTTTCTCTTTCCCCTTCCTGTCCATCAGGAAAATGCCTCCACTAAACCAGAATGCTACTGTAATGCTGTCTGAGAAATGCAGTTTCCCAGCTACTAGGCCCTGGAAATCAAGAGATGGCATAGAAGGGAGAGAACAGTGTGAGATTGTGTCAACAATCGTCCAGGGCACTCTCTACAAAGTGGGAGGAGACTCTGTACATTATTTGTACATTTTAAGAACACGGTAAATTTGATATGACTTGTATGTTTAAAAGAGAATTTGATTAAAATACAGAAAATGAAGTTCAGGAGAATGAAAGCAGCTAGGGCAATCTAGTTAGAGGCCATTTCATCAGTTTAGTTTGGACCATGATGGTGACAGTAAATATGAGAAGTAGATTCAGGAGGTGGAACTGACAGGACCCTCTCCTGGGCTGGGTGTGTGTGTGAGAGTGAGGTGTCCTTTCTGAGTCTTGCATCTGGATTGATGTTGTCACCATTCACTGAGATGAGATTACTGGGAGGAGACTAGCCAGAGGACATAGGGCTGGATTCAGTCTGTCTTTTCTCCTCCTGAAGGCCTTGAATCCCCAGAGCAGTGATTTCAACCTGTGTGCCGTGGCACATTGTTGTGCCCGAGGGGATCTTAGGTGTGCTGTGAAAATTTTTAAAGATCATTAATTAAATTATTTTTAAAAGAAGCTCAAAGCACAGTAAGTATATCCTTTTATTTTTTTACTTTTTTTTTTTTTTTGGATCAGCATAATTTAAGTGTGCTGCAGAGGTTTAACTAGAGGTTCAAGTGTGCCATGGGATAAAAAAAGTTGAGAAACACTGCCCTAGGAAGTCAAACCTTCCTTATTTCCCTCACAGTACCCAGCGTCAGACCTTTCACACTGTGCATCTTCAGAAAGTAATTGCTGGATCAGAGTCCTGATAGCTTATCCAACCTCCAAGCAGTGATGAGGAATTAATTCTTTATGAGGGGAGAGCAGCAGCAAACTGCTGGTTAAAGGCAGCAGTACTGAAACGTACAGACAGAGCCAAACAAAGTGTAAAAAGAAAAGAAAAGTCCCTGTGAGCAGATGTATGTAGGCAGTTAAGGCAGTGATTATTCAACTGGACGCTAATTCTGCCAGAGAGGTGGGGTGGGTCCCCAGTAAACCTAGATGCAAAAGGAACTAAGCAAAAAAAAACAAAGTTTCATCACCAAAGAAGATCAGAGGCATTATTATGTGACAGAAGTTATAACAATCAAAGTTATGAAAGACTTTTGTTTTATGTTGTGTCTCAGAAAGCACAGTCAGGGTAAGTAACAAAGAAAGAAAATGGGGGGAAAGAGAAGACATTAGTATGGAGATCATTATGCAGGGTATAAATTTTAAAAGCACAGCTCTAAATTATTTGAAGTGAAGGCAAGACTGTGGGGAGAGCAGTTGAAAATGTGAAGAGAATAAGCCCCATAAGTGAGTAGAATCAAAGACAGGCTGAATTAATGTAAAGTGTAAACTCAGTGGATGAGAAGTAAAGGGCAAGATAAATTATAGGTGAAAGGGGCAGCAGGAGCGCAGGGAGGGAAGACCAGAAACAAACAAACTAAAATCAGATGAAAAAGCCAAGTGGGGCAATAGACCAGGTGAAAAAAATTAAAATTTTTTAAATCTTTTTTTTTTTTTTTTAATGCAAAACCCCACAGAATTGTTAGAAATGAGGCAAGGGTCTGACATGAGGCAAAGATGCGTGGAGAGTCATTATGAAAACTAAATGTGTTTTCTGTTTAGTTTGGTTGCTTCGTGAATCTGGAACCATTTTGACATGTGGAAATATTCATTTTGATGTGCCTAAAGTGTATTGATTATGGTAATTGTTTTTTCTGTGTTAGTTGCAGTCCATTGTGATTTCCTATGGGCTACTGTAATTGCTTTTTAACCTGCTCTCTTGGCTAATTTGGTTTGGGGGAGTCAAGGTGACCTCTGCCTGCCAGCCTCACTGTAATGACAAGGCAGGAGGAAGGTCCACAAAGATGAGAAATTTGCAAAGGTGGGGCACGGGCATGTCCCTCTCAAGAGCACCGTGCAGCATTCTGGCTGCTGAGGGAAACTTAAAAAGGAACATTTTTGTTTTTATCACTCACTATGCCAGTGGCGTTCTGCTCCCGGCTGTGCGGATGACAGCAGTGGGCATTGCATAGAACCTCCTACATTCATCTACTGATCTTAGAGAAGAGAGACCACTTCTGGATCCACTGTCATGGTCCTTGCACTTTGCCTTCCCGTTCATTGTTCTGTCCCTGTTTTCTTTTCTTTTGTTTCTTTTTTTTTTGAGACAGTTTCAAGCTGTTGCCCTGGGTAGAGTGCTGTAGCATCATAGCTCACAGCAACCTCCAACTCTTGGGCTCAAGCTATCCTCTTGCCTCAGTTTTTCTATTTTTAGTAGAGACAGGGGCTCAGTCTGGTCTAGAACACGTGAGCTCAAGTTATTCACTGCCTCCGCCTCCCAGAGTGCTAGGATTACAGGCGTGAGCCAGGCGCCCAGCCTGTTCCGGTTTTCTTAAATTAAAAGAACTCTCAGCATTCTGTAACATGCCACGTGACTGTTCTCTGGGAGTACATGTTGATATTTGTGTCTGTGATGTGTCAGCTATTAAAACCAAAAATGATCCTGTTTGAAACAGTCATGGTGTACCCCAAATCAATGTGCTTATGGTGTGGCGCTAAGAGTCTAGTGGAAAAGCAATGTCGTGAAGAATAAGCATGCTTATTGAAATTGTGTTTTAAATAAAGGTGACCATCTGCTTGCTCAGGCAAAATGGTGAGCTTCTTTATTTACAGTTGGTTTATATAGGGAATCTTGTGCGGGTGCACTATACAGCAGTGACCTCATTAACATTCATTACAGTCCCTCTGCACATGCGCATTGGACATCAATGACTTCATTAATCCATTTAAACAGCTTATGACCATCCGCCCTGTAAGTAGCTCCTCTCTGGTAATCTGATAATCCACCCAACATACACCTTTAAGCATAACCCTTTCAACATAACCCAGTTTAACATAACTTAATGAAGAACATGTTGGCAGTTATTACATTCTTTGTTCTTATCTGATGAAGCCTGAGGCTATGGGGGAAAGAGACAATTTCAATGTCTGTCTACTGACCATGCCATTGGGAGGCAGTTACTTCAAATCTTCAAGCAAAGCATAGAGAAACTTCTTGGGCATATAGGAGTTTGTGTGCAAACCTCTGCTCCCATGTAGGCCTTAAGTCAGGGGGGTTTTACTGTAGCCTTTTATAAGGAATTCTCAGGCTAGATTTCTCAAAAGCCTTTCATGAGCCCAGGTTTCATCTGTGCCATTAGATACCTGTATTCATTGGGTAAATTCCTCTTCTCTTGAGGACCCTAAGCACATTTCCATTCTCAGACCTGTCAGCAAGCGACCTTCGTCATTTACCACAGATCAGGAAAGGTTACTAATGAGTATCTGGCCAGTTTTCCAAAGGGCTTTTTCACTGGCCTTATAAAGTCAACCTTAATTCCTTAACGCAGTCTGGAAATGCTAGTCCAGCCAAAGCCTTGGTCCCGTTAGGTCCGCAACTAACCTGGCCATATGGAATTCTGCCTCAGTTTCTCACAAGTGTGCCTGCACAAAGTCTTTTCACTGATCTCTCTCAAGTGGCTTTTTTGGCCAGAGGCCAGAGGACTTCATTAAATCTCTCTGATCAAGAAACCTCAGCACTGGGTGGCCCCTGTGGCTCAAAGGAGTAGGGCGCTGGCCCCATATACCGGAGGTGGTGGGTTCAAATTCAGCCCCGGCAAAAAACTGCAAAAAAAAAAAAGAAAAAGAAAAGAAACTACAGCACTTTGTTACCTGCATTATTAAATATAGACTCCCCAGTCGAGCACTAAACATTTAAAGTTTCCTGTTTTGTCCATCAAGACTTCTCTGTGATGGTTAATTCTTTCCTTATTTGACGCAGCACATCATGATCTAACAGTGCAAACTTCACTAACAATATTAAAATCATTAAAAATAGACTACTTATATTCTAATGTTTTTGTTTCACATCTTCATTTTTAGTAAACTATTGCAGATGAAGTCCACATCTGGACTTCCTCAGCTCCATTTTTTCCACTCCTTCTCTTGAAGCGGCTATGATTATGAATTTGGGGAGGCGCTTCCAGTATTTTTTATACTTATTATTACAGATGTATACACCTGTAAACAATATGTTCCATTTTCATATGTACCTTTAAAATTTACAACAATGTCAGGGTACTGCACGTGTTCTCTGCAACCTTGCCTTTTTTCCAGGTGTGTTGTGATTGAGACCCATCGACATTATGCTTTTAGATTTTGTTCATTTAAGTTTATTGTGCTATATTGTCCTTTGCAATTTACTTAAAAACAAAGAAGTGAATTATTCCCTGGTCTGAAGAGCTTTCTGCCATCGTTGATTTGAGGAGTAGGGTGAGGTGTCTTTCAAGTGTGAGCCGCAGCTCTGAGGTAAAAAGCATCTGGCCAAGGCTGGGATTTCACGTGCTGTCTGGGTGAGGGAACATGGAGTTGTTTCAAAATACAATTACATTTAGAGTGTATGTTATGTGAGATTCCCCTTCCTTCCTCCCTCCCAGCAAGGTCCCGTCATCCTTTTGTTGGTGGCTGTTTCCCTCTGTGTGGAGGAAGTGCAACAAGAGCAGACAGACATCTCTTTGGCGTTTGTCTGGTACTCAGGTAGGGACTCTGGTCTCCACATTCTGTCTGTAGTTGGTGAACATTTGCAACATTTGCTGAGCACCACCAATGAAATAGGCGCAGGAAATGCAGCTGCTTGCTATGTCACTTGTGTCTAAGAAGGAGCCTAGCACATTTCTTTGTCTTTTATTAAAGGTCTACACACGTTCCTGTCGGTGAGGATCAAGTCCAGCACATGGAACTAGTTCAAGATCTAGCGCAAGGTTTCAATAAGAAGTATGGCGAGTTCTTCCCAGTGCCCAAGTCGATTCTGAGTAAGTAGCAAACTTGTGATTGTTGAATCAGGGCATGGTTGGATAATAGAGCCTTGGAACTTTTAGAACTAAACTTGGCTTTCTCATGGACAGGCTTCAGGATTGGTTAACTAGAATCCTCATTGTTGTCTGTAATGGGCACTAGTAGACTATTGGATTATTGACAATGATAACTAAAAATGTTTAAAGAATATGGGAGAGACCAAAAATTAAAAATAATTTTTCTTTATAAGGCATTATATAATTTATAAAGCATAAACAGGTGCCCCTTGACTTATAATGTGGTTATATCCTGATAAACCCATTGGACATTAAAAATATCTTAAACTAGCCAGGCGCAGTGGCTCACACCATTATCCTAGCATTCTGTGAGGCTGAGGTGGGAGGATTGCTCGAGCTGAGGAGTTTGAGACCAGCCTGAGGACGAGTAAGACCCCATCTCTACTCAAAAGAAAAATCAGCTGGGTGTGGTAGTGGACACCCATAGAGAGGTTAAAGCAAGAGGATCACTTGAGCCCAAGAGTTTAAGATTGCTGTGAGTTATCATGACACCATGGCACTCATCCCAGGGTGACAGGCTAAGATTCTGCCTCAAAAAAACAAAAGAAACCAAAAAAACCAATAATAATCTTAAACTGAAAACACATTTAAGACACCTACCCTACCAAACATCACAGCTTAGCTCAGTCTGCCTTACATGTGCTCAGAACACTTAACTTTAGCCTACAGTAGTTGGGCAAAATCATCTAACACAAAGCCTATTTCATAATAAAGTGTTAAATATCTCGTGTAATTTATTGAATACTGTGCTGAAAGTGAAAACCACAATGATTATGTGGGTACTCAAAGTATAGTTTGTACTGAATAGATATGACTTTTGCACCATAGTAAATGTCAAAAGATTCTAAGTTGCACCTTCAAGTTGGGGACTGCCTGTATACACAATGTATACACATTTTAAGAAAGAAAAAACTGTATTAAAATTATAATAATACATACCAATAGCAAAAGATAAATATAAGTCACATTTGAGCACTTCTTGTAATTACAGAAGTCATCAAATATGACTTGAGTATTAAAATTTTAATACAGTTTTTTTCCTTTCTTAAAATGTGTGTATATTGTTTGGGCACTGTACGTGTATGTGCCAGAGGAAATTGATAATTCTCCCACTCTGTCTTCTTAAATGAACAACTGAGATGGAAATGTAGTCTGCCTGCTGAATCTGAAATCCCTATCAACTTGGACCTTCAAGGCTACGCTAGTCTAGAAATCTTCTTGTGGAAAGAAGCTATAAATCTCTGTCAGCATTTTGGTAGCAGTGTAAACTTGTGGCCCTGAACCTAATTACTTTCCATCTTTATTGAGCTGACAGCATTGTAAAGGAGTATAACGTGTGCCTAGCATCAATTTAGAAATGTAAGGCAGGTGTAAATTTCTATGTTATTCCAACAGTTCACACATAAAAATTCAGGATACTCCAGGCCTTGAAATCAACCTTCTTTTTGCAATAAGTAATATTTAACGTTTAAAATAGTAATATTTCTTTTACTATTTTACCTATTTCAATGTTACATGCTTCTGTAATAAATAGCCTTAAAATAATTTTTAATAACACCGGTTTACGAAGCACAGTTTAACATCTTGATTCTATCAGAGCAATAAACAAGTCACGTGTGTGTATGCGTGCGCATACTTACATAATCCTGGGGAAAGAAAGAAATGGAAGGATCGCCCCAGGTGATTAAAATCAGTTGCGGGGCAGGAAGGGCAGGGTTTGGATCAGGGTAGGGAAGAACAGAGAGGAAAGAGAGAGGAAGAGAAAAGAAATAAACAGTACTTTCTAAAAAGGTGCACACCGGCTCGGCGCATGTGGCATTAAAAGATGATGAAAACATCAGGTGTTAACAGTGTTTCTTTTTTTTTGAGACTGAGTCTCACCCTGTTGCTTGCCTGGGCTACAGTGCCATGGCCTCAGCCTAGCTCACAGCAACTTCAAACTCCTGGGCTCAAGTGATCCTCCAACCTCAGCCTCCCAGCTAGAGTGCCACCAAGTCTGGCTAATTTTTCTATTTTTGGTAGAGACAGGATCCTGTTCTTACTCAGGCTGGTCTCAAACTCCTGACCTCAAGGGAACCTCCTGCCTCAGCCTCCCAGAGTGCTAGGATTACAGGTGTGAGCCACCATGCCCGCCCCCAGGTGTTAATAATGTTATCAAATATTTCAAATGATCTTTACTTCCATGCTCCTATTAATTCCTAGAAATTTTCCCAATGAATATTTGCTACTCATATAGTCAGATAAAAGTAAGTTATTTGGTATTCTTGGCATTTTTAAGATCTGGACAGTTGACATTCCTGATGATTTATTTGTTTGGTTTTGTTTTTGCTTTTGTGTATGTGTGTTGGTGTTTTTACCCAGCACCCATGAAGAAAGTGAAATCCCTCCGTGACCCTTCCGCCAAGATGTCAAAATCAGACCCGGACAAACTGGCCACTGTCAGAATAACAGACAGCCCCGAGGAGATAGTGCAGAAATTCCGCAAAGCTGTGACGGACTTCACCTCCGAGGTCACCTACCACCCGGCCAGCCGAGGAGGCGTCTCCAATATGGTCGCCATCCATGCCGCAGTGACTGGGCTGTCGGTGGAGGAGGTGGTCTGCCGCAGTGCGGGCCTGGACACTGCTCGCTACAAGCTGGTGGTGGCAGATGCTGTGATTGAGAAATTTGCTCCAATTAAGAGTGAAATTGAAAAACTGAAGATGGACAAGGACCATTTAGAGAAAGTTTTACAAGCTGGGTCTGCAAAAGCCAGAGAATTAGCATACCCTGTGTGCCAGGAGGTTAAGAAATTGGTGGGGTTTCTATAGGAAGTTTCAGCTCATCACAAAAGGCTTTTGTGTCTTACAGTCTGTGCATTTGGATAAAGGCGGCTTTCTTCAGAAGTAAAATATTATAGTTTCAGAACATTTAATTTGGTATAGCTGGGCGGGGCCTGTGGCTCAAAAGGGTAGGGTGCTCGTCCCATATGCCAGAGGTGGCGGGTTCAAACCCAGCCCCAGCTAAAAATAAAATAAAATAAAATAATAATAATAATAATAATTTGGTATAGCTGATTATCAGCTTCATTTGATGAATAATGTTTTGTAGCTTTCAGATAGAATAACGTTCCAGATCCTCTCAACATGCTGTGACTAGAAAAAAGAAACTAAAGAAAACATAGCTGTCTGAATCTCTGATTATTTGAGGCGCACTCCTTGGCCTAAATTAGTATTGTCAACCTTTTTTACCTCATCGCACACCAAAACTATAGTTAAATTTCCACAGCACACTTAAATTTTGTTGATCAAAAAAAGTAAAAAAAAAAAAAGAAAATACTCTACTTTGAACTTCTTTTGAAAATAATTTCATTAATGATCTTTAAAAAATTTTGTGGCACACCTAAGATCCTCTCACAGCATACCAGTGTGCCATGGCACTCTAGTTGAAAATCCCTGGTCTAAATATGTCAACACAGATGTTATAGAGGTGAGCAGTAATTTGGGGATAGTGTATCACCTGTGCTGTTTGGGGTCCTTACTATAACAGGAGCTCATTATCTATCCTAACCCTTTTACAATGCAATGTGTAGAGGCCTTAGACTTACAATCCTTGAGATGCCATTTGATCCACTTTGTATTCAGATCTTACAAAAATTAGTTCATTTTTACAGTTCTTTTGTCACTGACATGGTGCCTAAGTTTTGTTGTATTTAAACTATTTGACTTGTTTTCTAAGAGACCGCACTGACTGTTCTGGCAAGTATTTTGTTGTTGTTGTTGTTGTTTGTTTGTTTGTTTTTAAGTCAGAGATTTGGGTATGATCTTCCAAGGAGGTTGCACTATTTCAACTTGAATTATTTATTTACAAGGGCCCAAGTCCATGGATTATGTTATTAATAAGCACTTCCTTGCATTCGCTTCAGCTTAATCTCATCAACCCCCTGTGAAAACACAGGAGAATTATTGCCGTTTTACAGATGGAGACAATGAGGCCCAGAGAGTGCAGTTCGCTTGTAGAGTATCAAGCACTAAGAAAGAAGCAAATCCAATAGTAAAACCTTTATTCTTCATTCCTCAGTGGAATCAGTACAAAATCCCAAAAAGCAACATTTTTGAGACTCCAAACATTCTGATTTTGAAGGTTGCAAATATAAGACCTGAACTATTGATTTTATTATACTTACAACTCAGCCTATAGCTGCCTGCCTTAAATGTAGATTAAGTGAAACTTGGTCACAGTTTTCCCTCAAAATCCCCAAGGCAGGGCCCAAGTTCTCTCTCCTATGCTGGTTGCAGAGACACTTTCAGATACATTCTGCCAGACTCAATAGCAGTGAGGACGGTAGACCAGATACTCCTCCTGAGCGGCAGCTTCTCATTTACCTAATCTAAGTAATAACAAATCACCCTAAAATGTAGCTTCTTTCTACTTCAACTTCCTACTCCTGAAAGTGATAATTCTGTCTTATGTACCAGCACCTGTTAGTTAGGCTGATTTTGTAACAGAAATTACTTGTAAGTTTTTTTGTCAGTCAGTACCATGACCCCCATTTATACATGCATGACTCGTTATTTTTTTTGAGAGAGAGAGTCTCAAGCTGTCACCCTGGGTACAGTCCCATGGCATCACAGCTCACAGCAACCTCCAGCTCTTGGGCTTAAGTGATTCTCCTGCCTCAGCCTCTCAAGCAGCTGGGACTATAGGCACCCGCCACAATGCCCGGCTATTTTTTGGTTGTAGTTGTCATTGTTGTTTGGCAGGCCTGGGTTGGATTCGAACCTGCCAGCTCTAGTGTATGTGGCTGGTGCCCTTGCCGCTTGAGCTACAGGTGCCAAGCCACTTGACTAATATGTTGAGCAAATAATTTTAAGTCACATTTCTCTTTTTTTTGAGACAGAGTTTCACTCTGTCACCTGGCTCAAGTGCTGTGGCATCATAGCTCACAGCAACCTTGAACTCTTGGGCTTAAGAGATCCACTTGCCTCAGTTTTTCATTTTTAGTAGAGATGGGGTCTCACGCTGGCTCAGGCTGGTCCTGAACACAAGAGCTTAAGCAGTCTGCCCACCTCAGCCTCCCAGAGTGCTAGGATTACAGTCGTGAGTCACCGTGCCTGGCCTTCTCACTTGTTTTTTTAAAAACAGTGTCTCGTTCTGTCACCCAGGCTGGAATGTAGTAACCTGATTGGGCATAGTTCAACTGTATCCTTGAATACCTGGGCTTAAGCAATCTTCCTGCCTCAGCCTCCTAAGTAGCTAGGACTATAGGTGCATGCTACCACACCCAGCTAATTTTTTATTTTTTGTAGAGATGAGGTTTCAATATGTTGCCCAGGCTGGACTTGACCTCCTGGAATCAAGTGATCCTCTCACCTTAGCGTCCCAAAGTGCTGGAATTACAGGTATGAGTCATTGTGCCTGACCCATGTTTCTTTAAGGGAAAGAAATAAAGTGGTCCTTGTATCACAATAGATACAAATCCTCAAATCCACAAAACACTACATCTCAGAATCCAAATCAAAAGACCCTTTAGGGGATTTTTGAACTTAGCCTGGATCATGGGAAAAGGAAACATCTTGCCTTTTGGGCCTTATCTTGGAATGGGGTGTCTAAAGTCCTAGAGCCTCTTTTATCATATATTTCTTTCTTTCTTTTTTTTTTTTGAGACAGAGCCTCAAGCTGTCCCCCTGGGTAGAGTGCTGTGGCATAGCTCACAGCAACCTTCAACTCCTGGGCTCAAGCGAGTCTCCTGCCTCTGCCTCCCAAGTAGCTGGGACCACAGGCGCCCACCACAATGCCTGGCTATTTTTTTTTTTTTTGGTTGCAGCCATCATTGTTGTTTGGCAGCCTGGGCTGGATTGGAACCCGCCATCTTAGGTTTATGTGGCTGGCGCCTTAGC